TGGGAAATCCGAGGCGAGAGGACGAAGAAGCGTTGTCGGGTGGCTGTCCTGGAGAAAGGCCAGAGCTGCACGCGTGGCGATGTGGAAATTGCTGATTGCTATCTGGTAGGCCACTGGGACGGGCAACAGTGGCAGCCCCCAAAGCAAGAGGAGAATTATCTCTGGTCAGAGGAAAACAAGGGCAAGCACTGCATGGAGGACAGTCGCACCGTGACGTACAAAGATGCTTACGCTTGGGTTCTCCAGAACGCCAGGAAGTACCAGGAGCCCGTACCGTTCCAGCGGCCACTAGGCTGCGTAACATGGGTGACACTGGCACGGTCAACGTCGGCCAAGAACCGAGGTGCCGCTGGTGAAGGCAGCCGACGGACCAAGACGGGCAAGAAAGGATTCGTTGGCGTACTTCAGGCAACCGTTGCACTGCCAGAGCAAGCGCAAGAGTGGCTGGGTCGGAAATGTTCCGTGGTGGAAACCTTGGCAGATGGTGCTTGTGGGCTGCACGCGACTTTCGGCGAAACCAGCGAAGCCGGCGTGTTGGTGTGCAACAATGCCCGCGAGCTAGCTTTGCACGCGCTGGAGGGAGCATTCAACTCGGAGGACGCAGAAGCCATGCGCATCAAAAGTACACTTTGGCAAGAAATGGCATGTCGTGGCATGCGAGAAGAGCAGGCGTACCCAGAAGCGAAGACGTTCTGGTGCACCTTTGCTGAGAAATTTCCGGATGCTGTGCTCGAGGCCAAGCAGGCAGCGGCTGCAGAGGCGGACTTGTCTGTGCAGCTAAGTGCGTGCCGTGACTCCCTGACCAGAGCTTGCAGAGCTTTCTTCTTGCAGGCGTCTCCCAACCTGTTGCATGACTTTTGCCGTGGCATCACTTATACAGCAGAGGGCCAGGAGCCTTGTTTCCAGATGCAGGGCGGACGCTGCATCGTGAAGGGCACCCAAATGGAGCTGCCTGCGGACGGTCCGCGTACAAAACTGGAGGCAATCCGAAGTGAGTCACAAGTTTTCGATGCGCTGCGAGTCGCGGCACTACTATCTGCAGATGAAGATGTCGTGGTGTCCGTCCTGGAGCATTTGTCGCAAGAAGACGAAAATGCAGCAAGCGTGGCCCTGGCGCTGCAAGAGCTTCGGTGTGCTGCAGCAAGAACGTCGACGGAGCCAAGCGATTTCAAGCGGCACGCAGTGGCAGCTTACCTGGCCGCAATCCAAAAGAGCGCGTATTATTTCAGCGTCGAAGAGCTCAAGGTGATCTGCCGGCAACTTGACACCAACATTCTGATAGCAAAAGAAGTGGCGCCGCAAGTTCTGGT